TCCAACAGGATAAACCAGTCAAAACAGTTTCCTGGCTGATCCTTGAGCTATCAATGTTCTGCTCCTGCTCTTAAAATAAAGGGTGAATTTTCGACCCAATAACCATTCTTGCTTAACAACATCCTTCCAAACCCGGACCAATCTAACATCTATTTTCCAACATGCCACAAGAAAAAAGTTCAACTCAGACATTGTGCTGAAAACAAGTCACAAGAAGTCCCAAGACGGAGCTGCATGAACAAAATGATGTAATTTCGCTGTTGACGCTGTGAGAGCGACACCTAACTTCTCACTGAGTATGTCACAAACTCAAGTTTGTTTGGCTCCCTGCTAAACAGGGGCTGCACAACATAGCAGGTACTCCCAGTGCTGAAGTCCTGCGAGGTCTGTGGTTTAAATCCCAGCTGCTGTCTTCCTAGCATATGATTTGGCTGCTTGCTCTGATTGGGTTCTCTGTGGATACTCCAGCTTCTTCTTCTTTAAAAAAATATCCATGTTGGCTGAATTAGTCTAAATTGACATAAAAAGGGAGCATGCATGCTGCCTGTGCTGTGGGTCAGAGCGGCTACAGCTGATTTCTTGCGTAGCGTTTTCATAGCAGTAATTATAGCCTGCATGACATTCTTGTGGTCAGTAAATCTTTCTGTCTTTTAATCTTTTTTATTTCATCTCACACAATGAATGGTGGCAATGAATAACCTACAATTAAGCCCAAACGTATCGAGACTATTTACAGATTTAACTTCTAGTTACTATTATTCAACTAACAGTTTAGTTTTGATTAAAGTGCCACATGAGTCTCTTAGAAGATAATGAGGCAATGTATAAAAGGCATGTGAAACCAACAAAAAAATATTATTTATTTACATTTGAAGAAAAGATGACTTTTTATAAATTACTCAAACCCTTCTGAAAAATCATATAAAAGCCTGCAATGTCTAATACAGCAGTCAAATCTTCCAATAATTGCTGACTGTCCCCAATTGTATTTTTGCCCAATCATGTATGATGATGGTCTCAATTTTTTTTTTGGGAGTGGAGGGTTTCCTTTCTAATACCCTGAAGTTCAGCTTCCTCCAGATTATTGATTGGATTTAAGTCAGGAATCTGGCTGGTCCACTTTGAAACTTTTATGTCTAATTCTGCTTACTATTTCCTCACTGCTTTTTCTGTGTGTTTTTGGCCTTTTTCAAACCGACATGTCCACAGGAGCCCAAGGCCAATATTCTCTGCAAACTACTTGATGTTGTTGAGAATCTTGATGTATTTCTCTTTCTTTCCTGATGCTGTTTACTGTGAATCAGTTCCCTTGTACATTGACCAAAGAAAACTCCTCAAAGCAGTAGATTCCCACCACAGGTCAACAGAGGAGAAAGTGTTCTTAAAGTTGAAGGCTACTCTTTTATTTCACGCCAAATAAGGGATCCATTAATGTGGCAAAATAGTAGAATTTTTGTTTCATTTCGACATAAAACAGGATAGAATAATAAAAATATAACAGTCTGCTTCTTTGTTCAGGCGAGCTTTTGTAAAGATCAAACAGCCGTTTTGTGCCTTGTCTTAAAAGAGGTGTTCTTCTTGCCATGTGTTGGTGGAAGCCTGCAGTGGGGGGTGTCAGTTTGTCAATCTGCCATAAGACGCTGCCACCAGCATAGCCTAGGTTTATCAGTATGGCCTTGTTGGTGATCCTTAGATTCTTTATCAACTGCCCACTAAGTTCCTGACCTGCGCAGGTATCCTGTTTTCTTGCAACCAAACTGGGACATCTCTGATTTTTCACAGTGCCAAACATCTAATATTTTCGATGATACTTTGGACTGTAGCAACTGGAATTTGAAAGCAGTTAAAGATATGAACTTATAGACAATCTTTATTGTGATTTCTTAATACACAGAGTGAATACAAAAAGAAATTACTTACAGCTTACAACAGTGAAATTAACATAACCATTATAAAATGCAGCAGTCTCCTTTTATCCTACAGTGTTTATATTCTGATGAATGTAAACACTGTAAAAGGAGACCAGTTTAAAATAATGGTGCAAAAGGGCATTAATATGGAAAGGTTCAGTGTAGTGCAAAATAAATATGGTGCAACATTTCTTTAGAATGGAGGGTTTCCTTTTTAACTCCCTGATATGCACCTATAGCTCTTCCCAGTTTGCTAAAGGTGCCACAATGAGCAGTCACCAGACCTTATTAAGTTCCTTGATTTTAGCCATGACTCTCCACAAACATGCTGCAGAAAGCTGCCTTTTTTTTGACCTGTTAAGTTCAATAAAAAGCTGTTCCCAAATAATCAGTGTAATTAGAATGCTTTGGAAAAGCATGGGCTATTTGAATGGCTTTAAAATTTGGATTTGACAGATTAAAAGGGGTATAAATACTTTTGGACATGTGGCTTTATGTTTAAATGTTAATTAAAGCTAAGGATTTTAGTTTTTTACATAATCATTGCACAGATATATTGTCTGATCATCTTTAAAGAGAGATCTGTATCATTTCCAACCAGGAAAAACAGTACTGGCTGAACAAAAATAACTTTACTCCAAATCCTGCAATTGGTACAAATACATTTTGGCTTAATTATATGTGTTCGGGGGGCTGCTCAGTGGCACAGTAGGTAGCACTGCTGCCTTGCAGTGAGAAGAGTCCAGGTTTGATTCCCAGCCCAGGACGGACTTTGCATGTTCTACCTGAGCATGCATGGGTCATCTCCAGGTACTCTGGCTTCCTCCCACAGTTAGGTTAAGTTTTCTAAATTCTCTTTAGGTTTGAGTGTGAATGGTTGTTTGTCTCTGTGTTGCCCTGCCCAGGGTCTCGCCCTCTGACAGCTGGAGAAAGGCACCAGCACCCCTTTGCGACCTCAGCTGCGATAGAGCGTGACGAAAAATGGATAAATAGTTGGATATGCGTTTAGACAGTAAAAGAGATGCCTCTCACATAATATACATCTTTTTCTGGTCCATTATGATGATAGACAGCTAACCAATAGAATGCAACAGAAATGGTTTCTGATCAATAGAATGGAAAATTTCCAATATACAAGACACACGGACTGCAGCCAATGTTCTGGTGCAGCTGTTTTGACATCCATGCAGCCATGTAGCCACAGCACTTTCAAACACTTCATTGGGTCAGTGGACAATTTGAATGGCGGGAAAGGTCAGGATAGGATTTAGCCGGGAGCCCCTCATCCAACAGGTGTTATTGTCAGAATGTACCACTTGTTTTTCATCATAGCAGGATGTGAATATCTGACCAGCTTTATGCATTGCATTGATCCAGTATGTTAATCTCTGGAGCGTATGTGAAAAGGTGCTTCCAAGGACAGGCCAGTAAAAAGGTTACATTGATCACTGGAGGCTTGATCAATCAGTCCCTAGACAAACAAAAAAACAAGATGGTTTTAGATATGATAGCCCTCTTGTCAGGAAATAGATGGAACTTATGTCCTACTCCGTTCACATTTTATCAAACCTTAAGTGAATCTCACACATAAACAAGTCTGTGTCCCTATCCGTGGGCTGGTCTTGGCAAGTGAGGAGCTACAGTATGTCTGTCACACACAAATCCTATGTATGAAGCAAAGGACTGAACACACATTCAACCCACATATGACTATTCATACCAGCTCACTACACAAGATTAGGAGACTAGTGCAAGTAATTTAAAAAAAACAAAACCTGGGATATTCTGGGAAAAAAAGAGAAAAAATAAATCACATGGAATACTATATGCTTAAAGGTTTGACTACATGGATTATTTATGCAAGTCATATAAAATATTTTTAATAAAAATAAAAGATTTAATGAATTATTACCATGAAAGTTTTAATTTAGCTTTTTAAACCAAGATAAACGACATTTCATTTTTTATGGATTTGAACTTTATGAGATAAAGTGTGCAACACAAACAAACAGTTGTAACTATGGCAGCAGGGACCTTTGTGCTGCTGAATCAGATAAGGAACAAAAGCATATTTTAATCCTATGTCACATTTTGCATGCTTAAAAATATCTTTATTACATTTAAACTATATTCTGAGAATATTTTATGAAAGAAATAATACATATTTTACTATTACACATTTTATCATGTATCATGCAGAAACTTTATATTCTATTTTAATGATAGACCGAGACAAAGTTGCACATAATTGTGTTAGAAAAGAACACATGGCTCTCAAACTGTATAGAAACTTAGCATCTTTCTGTCTTTATGGGGGATGTTTCTACCAATGTTGCACCTTTAGAGAGCAAAAAGCAACTAAGTATTTCTGCAATTTTTTGATTATGTTCCTATCTGTAATTATTCTAATGCATTATATGCTTTAATCTGTAGCAATCCATTGCTTGAGGCTGCTTTTCTTGTGGACATTGAAGCTCTGAGCAAATCTTACATCTTGTGCAATTTCTAATAGGTTTTATTCCAGAACTGCCTAGTGTTTAATACTATAATGTTAAAGATCATACCTTCAGCATGATCAATCACATTGTGTTACCATGTAATGGTGTTTTGGGTGTAATGTGCATCAGTCATATTCTCCCTCAAATAAAAACCTGCAGAAGTTTCCGGTGATTTCCTCCCTCATTGTGAATACATTCCTTAATTGATCCCCATGCTTTTTTCCTCGAGCTTTTGTATTTTGTTTCCTTTAAATTATTCTTATAGTTAACAGTGAGACACACTCTGTCTCCTTTTGTTTCAACTTCAGCCGATTAGGCACGTTTATAAACCTGCCATTAGCTTTAATCGGCGTGAAAGACAAATAAATAATTTTTGTCATTCTGTGTTGACAACACTTCGCTGGTTATGCGCGTTCCTGCATACTCGCACACCATTGGTCGGAATATCTGTACATCATTTGGCTATACGATGTCGCTCCGCCCTCTTGATATCTACGCGCGCGTTGATTGGTTCTAAAATTATTCTACTGAAACACGACTGACCAATGACCGTTGAGGGGGAGGGTTCTTCTCTACAGTGGTGGAATCGAACGTCCCCGAGCGCACACGGCGTAAAGGAGAGTCTGTGGAAGGGACATAACGGTTTTCTTTTCGGCCCCCCTCTCCACTCAGACAACAAGAACCAACTAAAACCTGAATTTCAGAGGGGTTTACACAATCTTTTTCTGCTCTAAAGGAGGAGGGAAGCGAGGGATTGGAGCAGCAAGTTCTTTTTTTTCTTTTTTCCCTTTTTCTCTTTTTCTTAAAAGAGGATTTTGTGTTTTCACGGTGGTTCACTCTTCGCTCTCGCCGCAAAGATGATGGTCGGAGAGGTCGAAGTGAAGGAGCGACCGAGGCCGAGTCCAGACTATTTGATGCAATTATTAAACGAAAAGAAGCTTATGACCAGTTTGCCAAATCTCTGCGGAATCTTCACGCACCTGGAGCGGCTTCTGGATGAAGGTAAGCTGTGTTTGTATCATGCGGGGAGGTGAGCGGGGGAAGGGGGGAGCGTGACCACGGCGCAGTCCGATGTCGGTACCGCTTCTCCGGGTGTCCCCGATGAGGAACGGGGCTCTCCCGTCCTGTCTGCCGCGGCCTGGACACAAAACTTAAAGAAAATGGCCCCACCCGAGTATATAAAAAAAAAATCTAGTTCTGCCCTGTTTTAGACCACGGCGAGCGAGTTTAGTTTTGGAGCAAACGGAGTTTTGCCGAGGTGAAAACTTTGCTAGACTCACTCGGAGAAAGCAGAACTACATGGCCCCGCTTAAAAAAGTATGATAAAACAAATGTGTAAAGCTTTAGCTGTATTTAGGAAGTCCTCGGTTGTTGTCGACAGAGCGTATTTTAACATGTTTCTCAACAGTTTAGCTCGAGTTAGCCACATTTGAAGCTAGCCGAAGTATCCTGCGTTCCTCTGAACTCTCAGCACGACGCTGAAGTTGGTGTCCGGTTCGATGCTTCGCCAGATTAATGGGCTGTTTGCTGCATTAAACTAATCTGAATTTACTTAATCTGCAACAAAATAAACCACAATCTAGGTGGATTGATCATAATTGAATTAGTTAATTTTAAACCATGCGTGAATTCTACAAAATAAAATGTATAATTTATGAAACTCAATTTTTTTTGTTATTTTTGTGGTGAAAGCTTACAATAAAATGCAGAATAAAGACTAACATACCCCAAAATGTCTCATCTTAATAGAATATCTTATATCATATTTCAGCTGTATTTAATTTGTTAGGTCTAAATAGAAAAAATCTTATATATTTTTATTTACTCTCCTCTTTTACTTATTTATCAACTTAGTGTGGAAACCCTCAACCATGTCGAGCTTGAATAGAAATAGCTTCAAAAAGGATTTTTGTTTTGTATAAACAAAACAACTAAAATAAGACATGTCAAGCTATTTATTACATTGAAGCATATATACAGTTGTGCTTAATTGTATTTAGGAAAGCTCATAAAAGTTTTCTATTTATTTGGAATCTGCACCAGCATGGATAAAGTAGATTGGGGTCCATCTTGGAAGCCATGAGGGTGAAGAGGCCACCAGGCCTCAAAATGGGTCTTTTCCTCTTCCTTTTTTTCTCTCAGTTCAGGTTTGACCAGATTCTTAACGCAGTTTGGTCATTTAGTCACGCTTCAAATCGGACACTGACTTCACTGTCCTTAACTCAGCTACGTACGTCTTTAAAAACTAAGTCAGGGTGGTTTTCCTGTCACCGATTAGATTAATCTTTTAATTTCCGTTTCCAGTTGAATTAATTTAGCCCAGGCGTGGTGTAGTTGTCCCCCACTAGCAGCGCGGTGGAATGTGCAGCTTGTTGCCCGAACAATGGGCAGCGAGGGAGGGGTGTGATTTGGGGGGCTGGGGGGGTTTGCTTTATCTCAACTTTTTCACTAAACGTGGCGCTGCTTAGTTTCTCCTCTGTTCGCTCATCTGCTTTATCGTTTGTCTCACCAGCAACACATGTGCTGCATATAATCCAGGTCTCCTTTTTCTTGCAATTATGCAATAATTTTATTTTTATATTCTCTAAATATCACTATAGGTATATGCCCAATAGATCTCTATTATATCCCCCCAAACAGTCACAATTCAGCTTTCGAAATGTGGCTTTTCAGTTGTTGGTATCAATAACAGGAGCTGCTCTGAGTGGTATGTTGGATCTGTAGTTTATATAAGGAATCAGGGGACACTAGAGAGCGCCACTGTCCCCCTATTGTTTGTCACGTTGACCTGGACTTCACAGTAAATAAGCCTAATGTGTAATGATATAGAATTTGGGAGCTGCTTGGATAAGCTGAGATTACTCCAGAGGGGGAAGAGAAGCGCATAGTTTGTGGTTTCGGTTGCATGTCTGGATGAGTTCACCCTGTAGTATGTAGTTGCTAAACCGGTCTGTATGGATTTTTTTTCTGCTTGTCTTGATGGCTAATAAACAGAACAGAAATGGACAACATCTCTTCCTCTTAACCGCAAAAGACGTCAATAAAAATGTGTTTATAAACCAGCTTTTCTAGATCGAGCTGATTTGAAAGTGAATCAATGTTTTTAAAAGTGATCTGATTAATATTGGAGGAAAATTTCACTGGTTCATATTTTAGCTTGCAGGGTTTACATGGTTCTACCTGTTTATGCAATGTGTGTGGTCAGACTTTTATAGTTAAGTAGGAGCTTTTCGGATAATCTAGATTGGGGATGAAGAAGCTGGGTTGAATAACTTTGTTCTTTTTAGAGGTTTCTTTTTTTGCGGGGGATCACGTGATTTTTAAGCCTCTTGATGCCTGTGTAAGATGTGTTATATTTTCTACCTTATTCTAATGGTTTTAGTTTTTTTTCTTTTACATTTTGGAAATGTTTTTTTTTATGCCAGAAGTGCAACTCCTTGCTAACCTGGAAATGAGAAACTGTTTTCATTGCTCAAGAGTGGTCAGGAGATTTTCTTTATGCAATGTAGAAAATGTTTTCACTTCCCTGCCTTCTCTCTGAAAGAACCTCATTTATGGAAAAAAAACTCACAACAACCGTATAAAGAATATGACCCCCAAAAATGTCATAAATTCTATTCTAACAGGCTACATTCTGCTTCCTTTGTGCTATGAACGGTGTAGAAGTTGATCGTTTTATGCAGAAAATGAAAATTAAACTGGCGGCAACTTTCAGCCCCAGTTTCTCTCGCCTAAACTCTCATCTCTGAGGTTTGCAATTGTTTCCACGGCAGCGACCCAAACTTTACCCTACTGCCAAATATCACATGTGTGAGATGAAGGTCATCTCAGTGCAGCTTGTTTGACTGGTGTGTGTTTTTTTTTTTTTGAAGGTTTGTTTACTCTTAGCCTTTCCTTATAGGTGGGAATTTTTGGGGTCAGACTGATCACTCGGCCTGTCCCCTGTACATGTAAACAGGTTACACCCTGTACCAGTCTGTTGTGTCCAGTTTACTCTATTAAAGAAGAGAAAATAGCTGTTATGATGATTTTTGCAATAATAGTTTCTTGAAAGTTATCAATTATTTTCTTTTGTTGTGTTTGTGGTATATGTGCTTCTCAAACTGCTTTATCTCAATAAAATCAACCGCTTTGTGAAAATGGCAAATAATGCTGCGGCTATTTAAAAACCTGTTGAAATTAGGTCAGCTACTGGAAACTGAAGTAATTCACACACAAAAAATAATCCCAGCCCTTCTGGTGACGATCAAAGCTGGCGGTCACTAAATGCCGTGAGTGCTCAGATTGGTTGACGCATCGTTTGCATGTTTGGATGCGACCATCAATCCGTAGACTATTAAAGACGGTCTTTAATAGTCTAGTCTAGCAGCACCTCTGACTTCCCTCCCCCCCGGTCCGTCCCATCTCACGACAGCTGCATATCTCCCTCACCCACCCAGCATTTCTTGCATGTCTGCACAGCTGTTTCCATAGTGGAAGAAAGCAGACACCACCCTTGTGTGCGATGACTGCTCCGCTGGCATGTGTGCATGGCCCCTCCATACTTTCCCAATATGCATGTGGTCCCTGAAGGTCACTCTGACCGATTGACAGGCCTCCTAAGAAATCCCTTTGCGCTGCAGTTGTTCATCTCCTTGGGGTGACACCTGCTGTGAAGGCTTTTTTATATTTTCTTTTTCTTTACGGGCTGCCTGCCAACTAGCTGCTTCAAACTGGGATATTTTTTCTTGGCAGTTTTCGACGGACTATAAACCATCTAGTGCTGCAGCCTGTTTTGAGACAGCAGAGCACTTAAGAAAGAGGCGGATTGGACCGAATATGGAATAAATTAGAAGCATTTACTAATTTAAGATATTGTAGCTCATTTGGAAAGGGTCCTTTGCTTTGTCTTCTTTTAGAAACAATAGGTTAGCGTCTCAGTTGGCTAGAATGAATATAATCACGTTAATCTGGACATCTGTAGAAGCTTTAGGAGAGCTCCAAGTGGGAAAAAAAAATATCTGCAGAATTAGAGGATATTTAATTTGAGTAAGAAGTAGCTGATCAAGTCTGAAGGGAACTCCCGATCACTATCACTCAGACATCCAAAAAATTTTATTTTCATGATTTTCTTTTAATCTTGTTGTATGGAAACAGGAATAGTTTTGGTTAAATTCACATAACATTGCTAAATGAGTGGTGGTCAGACGTCCATTTTCAGGCCGCCGCACTCAGCCACATAGAGAGGCCTGTCTGAGTTTGGTTTAGCAGACTGAATGACACATTCTCTGTCCGAGTCTCGTGGAACCACAACATGACTTGGCCACTGCGGAAAATGTTCCCTGTTTTTGTGTCTGCGGCGGCAGACAGTTTTAAATCTGCGTCAGGATTTTACCGGGACAGTCCTGGGAGAGCTGTCAGCGTTTGGAGAACAAACTGTCTGCCTGCTCACTGCGGCGGCAGAGAAACGGTCCTCTGGGGAAAATCTGTTTAGGGAACAGATTGTGATGAGAGAATCCTAAAAGTCTTCACCTGATTTGTTGTGATTTTTTCTTTTTCTTTTTTTCTCTGAGGATTCCTCCTTTTTTTCAAGCAGCTCTCCTATCTAGCTAGGATGACCTAATGTGCTTTGCTGTATTAAGGTGGGGTGGGCTCCTCCAGCCTTTGACTTCAAGTCAATTTAGCAGCTAACAGGACTGAGCACATCTCACTGAGCGAGACACTGCTTAAAGTTGAAGGAACACAGATAAAGACGGACAGGATTGGGGATCTGGGGGTGTTAGGCCAGGTCTGCTGTTGCAGGAAGAAACCTGTTAAACTTCCAACTCTTTCTCTTCTCCTCACATGCTCTCTCCCAGGGCACCACTTAGAAACGGGAATTGAATTAACTAAGAGCCATTCTATGGGATGGTTTACTGAGCTGCAGCCACCAGTGTGAAGGCAGGAGAGGGAGCTTTGTGTTGTCGTCCCTTTGTCTGCCACCACCTTCTCATGCGGTGCCTCACAGTTTCTCCTTTGTGGGG